TTTGGCTTTGGGTTTAGGGTTGAGGGTTTAAGGTTTGGGGCTTCGGGTTTAGGGTTTAGGGTTTCGGGTTTTTGGTTTCGGGCTTAGGGTTTAGGGTGTGGGGTTTAGGGGGTTTAGGGCTTAAGGCTTGGGGCTTATAGGGTTTCGGCCCAGTTGAAAACCCAGGAACAGTCACGAAAATCTTCCATGATGCCATAAAGGTCAACTACAGGTAACCCCGGCACAAGCCATCTTCCATCCCTGCTTCAACTTCTTGGAGTTTGCTGAAATACCCAAGGAATGAACGCTCGATTTTACAAATACGAGGGAACATTTCGAAAGCCCTAGACCCTAAACCTTTGATCACGGCATCTCCGAAGGCTCCCTCAAACCATGTAACATGCAAGGAATAAAAGCCTGCGCCTAGGGTTTAGGGCTTCTGTGTCAGAGACGCGGCGTTTAGACTTGTTTAGCATTGGGGGTCTAGGGTTCTGAGTTGATGGGTTTAATTAGGGAGTTTAGGTTTTTTTTTTTGTTATGGGCCCTTTTCCAACTGCAGAACAGTGTAGAATTCCCTACCAGGAGGAGCCCTGGGGTTTAGGGTTTTAGGGTTCAAGATTTATGGTTTCGGATTTAGGGCTTGGGATTTAGGTTCATGATAGTTCATGGTTCAGGCTTAGGTTTGCGGCTCCAAGTTGAGGCTTAGGGCGTGAGGATGTGGGTGTACGGCTTGGTGTCAGATGCGGCTTACTTCAACTTGTTGAGGCCACTGAAGGGCATTTCAGGGCTTACGGGTGCATGCTAGTTTAGGCTTGCCAGAACTATGCGGTTTGGGGGTTACCGTGTGTAGGCAACTTATCAGTTGCAGGCGTATTCGGGAAATGATATATGCCCTGAACAGATACGTCAACGCCAGAACCATGATCCTGAAATTGAAGCACTGCCCAGAAGGACTCGGCGAAGAGCAGCCAATGCACCCCTAAGAAAGAGGTTTGGGGCAGTAGGGTTTAGGGTTTAAGGCTTGGGGATTTGGGTTTGGGGTAATAGGGTTTTGGGGCTTTACCTAAAGAGTGATGTCCCACCCCGGTTTTAGGGTACCTACTTTTGCACGTAACAGATCCTAACGCTAAATCTCGATACCTTAATAGACTTAGTTCAATAAGGGTATGAGCCTGTAGGTAGGCTTTTGGGAGAGTTTGGGACGTCTTGAGTTCAGAGCTTCAGGACCCCACCAAGTACCTTAAAGCCCACTTGGTGGATGTTTTAGGGTTTAGGGTCGAACTCTGCAGAGCGTGGAGTTGACGCCTTGAGCCAGACCCCAACCCTAAACCTACGACAACAACTTTAAAACCCTATACGGTTTAAGTCTTCGGGACTAGGGTATACCGTACAGCCCAAGCATCTAGAAAACAACACGCCAAAACTCCCCAACAATCCCAAACCCCCTTATATCTAGACCCCCCAACCACCCTCTAATATACCCTAAATGCCCACTATTAAGGACCATAAGGGCTCCATTAAAGGCCCTTGCGATTTCCTGGTATAACCCAAACCTCAACACTGAACTCCCGGTCTGTAGCGGTTCCTCTTCCTATCTCTGAGGAGTCCGCTTCGCCAACTTCGCAGGCAGCGGCGACGGCGCCGAAGCAGGAGATCGAGGGTGCCGTGGTGGCTGCAAAGGCCTCCGTTCCGGGTGCAAAGACACTTCCAGAGAGAACCCAACACCCCCTTAAATAAGGAATATACCTTAAATGATAGGGGCCGCAGGGGCCTTAATATTAGGATTTGCACTGTGTATATATATATATATATATTATATTATATTATATATATATATATACATTCCCTAATTTAGGGTTCTCTGGGTTTACACAACCCCGTGAAAAGGAACCCCTAACCTGAAATCCAGAAAAGCAAGAAGGTTTGGGTTTAGGGTTTAGGGTTTAGGGTTAAGGGTTTAGGGTTCAGGGTTCAGGGTTTATAGGGTTTAGGGTTCAGGGTTTAGGGTTTAGGGTTCAGGGTTTAGGGTTAAGGATTTAGAGTTCAGGGTTCAGGGTTTAGGGTTCAGGGACCGGTCTGAGCCTCAAAGATGCCCAAAGCCTGGGTCCAGCGAGTGCTGCGGCCGAGAGCCTCGAAACTTTTGGGGTTTAGGGTTTAGGGTTTAGGGGTTAGGGGTTAGGGTTTAGGGTTTAGGGTTTAGGGTTTAGGGTTTAGGGTTTAGGCTTGAAGGGTTACCTATAGTTTCCATTGTAGTTCCTTGTTGGGGTTACCTTAGAAGATCCTTAATATAGAATTGGCTAAACCGAAAAAAGGAACTTTAATGGAGACTATAGGTACGGTTTAAGGTGTAGGGTTTTACGATTAAGGGTTTGGGGTTTTGCGGCTTAGGGTTCTACCTGCTTTAAAGCAGAATGTGCTTCAGATGAAACTTGTTTAGGGTGTTTTCTCGTGAACAGGTTGCAGGACTCAGGGTTCAGTTTTCTTTGCAAGGGCTCGGTTCAGGATGTATTAGGGTTTAGGGTTTAGGGTTTAGGGTTTAGGGTTTCGGAGATTAGTTTGGACTTTGGGGACTCTCGGGGTCTAGTGTTCAAAAACAGACTGTATTCCCTTAGCCCCAAACTCCTAAACCCGAAACCCTAAACCGCGCAGTATGAGGCTTTCAGAAAATGCAGAACCCCTTTTTGATGGGATCCTGACAGGACTCCTAATCGCTAAGGGTCCATGTACTCATATAGTATATACATCGGCTCCAATGCCAGAGTACCTACATAGGGACTACTTTAAGGCCAAAGTATATACTATTTGGCCACATGGACCCTTAGGGAATGTGAAAAATATCTCCGAACTGCCGTAGAAGATCGCTGCGCACTCAACCGGCGAGGTATGCGAGGACCCCCCCCCAAGTGCCCTTTAGTGGAGCCCTTGTCGTCCTTATTAGTGGGTATCTAGGGTATATAGAGGGTAGTTGGGGGTTCTAGGTGAACTTACGATGGAAAAATCTCCGAAACGTGCCGAAGCCCACACACAAAGCCCAGAAACCTTACATTGAACCTACACCCTGAACCCTCAACCAGCCCCTCAAACCCAAACTCGACCACTACCGCCTGGAATCTTTCAAGTATAACCAGGGAGAAAAAGCTATAAACGTTTATGTCATCATGGCTCCTTTAAAAAAAACACATCCAAAACAAGTATTATTGAAGTATGGTACTCCCCTAAACCCTAAACCCTAAACCCAAACCCAGGGGGACCAAGCACCAACGAAACTTCGCGAGCCGGACGAAGAGCAGTCAGGACAGCGCTGGCGCCAACCGGGCCGGGCAAAGGAAAGCCGGAGGAACCAGAGAGCCTTATTGGCTTTAAGTTCTAGGATTTAGGTTTAGGGGTTTAGGGTTCAGGGTTTAGGGTTTAGGGGTTGAGGGTTTAGGGATTTAGGGTGTAGGGTTAGGGTTTAGGTTGAGGGTTTAGGGCTTTGTGGTGTAGGGTTAGGGTTTAGCTTGAGGGTTTAGGGCTTTATGGTGTAGGGTTTGCCCTTGGAGGTTCAGGGCTCGGAAGGTTTCTGAGAAGTCACACTCGAAACCTAATTGTGCGGGCCTTATAATAATTAGAATAGTTTTTTTTTTGGGGGGGTTCCTTAATATAATTAGAGTATAATATACCCCCAAAGCCTATTCTAAGTGTTAAGGCCCCTACATTACTAGCAACATTGGCCGAAGAAAGGAAGCAGCCAGAACTGGCCGAAATAAGCTGGAACGATGATGTTCTTAAGGACTCTACTTCATGAGTTCTTCTGCGTGTTGGTTGATGATTCAAGTCCACTTATTCTAAGGCTTTTGGGCTTCTACGGTTCTAGGGTGTTGAGCCTTCACTGAAAGCTTCATATGTGCAACTTGGACAGCAATCAGGTCCGGAAACCAGATGTCGATCTTTCCCTTGCGAACTTAAGAAACAAGTTGCCCTAAGCTCCGTATATACTTAAGCCTTAAAGTACTTATGCTATATAAGTAATAGGAACCCTTTTCACGACGAAGTTTATACCATTTCGGTACATGGAGCCTTTGGGCTTTAGGAGCCTTTGGCCTTATGGAGTTTCAAGGTTTGCCTTACAGGTGTTGCAGAGTAGGGTGTTAGGGGCTAGACCTTAGGGTCAAGGGTTAAGGGGGTACCCCAATACAAGTATCCAATAATTATCTACTATAGTTGTTTAGGTGAGTACAGGGCCGGGGCTCGCGAGACTGGAAGGATGCATGTTACGAGCTCTGAACCGAAAAAAAGCAGCTTTTTCCTCAGATGCCTGCATGAAACCCAGCCAGAACTGTAACCCCAAAACCGAAACCCTGGAAACGAAATTCAGATCCGACAGTCCAAGGCTTCCCCTTCATGCCATGACCCAACTCCTTTCCCCTATATTTCCCAGAACCGCGAACTCCTAAAACCCGAATACCTACCCAAACGGTTTAGGGTTTAGGGTTTGAGTATTGATGTGGTAGCTACGTCGTAGGCATTTGGGCCCCAAAAGTATTTACTGCACTATAACTTGGACCCTTCGGGCTAATCCGTGAAGCCTACCTCATCCCTCTGCAGTTCTCGAAATCCTATACATAAGCCCTAAGGGTCCATGTAACCCCCAACATATATATACTTCGGACCGAGAGTACCTACATAGCGACTCGTTTAACTAGGGCCAAAGTACCTACTGTTTGTGCACATGGACCCCCCAGGGTAAGAGCGCTAATGTGGGGGCCTTAATAACTAGACTAGGGTTTGTGGGGATGTTGTGCTACAATTACAACAAGGAACCCCAAAAACCCTATTCTAATTATCAAAGCCCCTATATTGTCCCGAAACCCTAAACTCTAAACCCTAAACCTTAAACCCTAAACCCTTAACCTCTATAAACCTTAAACCCTAAACCCTTAAACCCTTAACCTAAACCCTAAACCCTTGACCCTAAAACCTAAACTTTGGCCCTAAACCCTAAACCCTACACCCTATAACCTGAACCCTAAAACCTAAAACCGAAACCCTTAACTTTGGTCTTAAACCCTAAACCCTAAACCTTAAAGCCTAAACCCTAAACCCTAAAACCGAAACCCTAAACCCAATACCCTAAAACCGAAACCCTAAACCCAATACCGTGGAGCATCTCTTCAAAGAGCGCCAGGGCTTGGTACCAGGCCGTGGCCGCAGCGCACGCGGAGAGCGTCGCCGAGGCGCCGGGGATGCTCCCAGGGGCGGAGCTGCAGAGCTGAAGAGCTCCCTGTGGGTTGGGTTTAGGGTTTAGGGTTGTTAGGGTTTAGGGTTTAGGGTTTCGGGTTTCGGGTTTAGGGTTTAGGGTTTCGGGTATAAGGTTTAGGGTTTAGGGTTTAGGGTAGAGGGAGCTGAAGAGCTCCCTTTGGGTTTTGACTTTCGGATTTAGAGTTTGGGGGTTTTGGCCCTGTGCTAGTCGAGTTTAGGGGTTTAGACTTCCCAGACAGTATCATGAAATAAAAGCGGCATGTGCTGTACGATGCACGAGCTATCATCTAGATCTATCTAAATCTATCTATCTATCTATCTATCCATCCATCCATCATCCATCCATCCATCGATACATCAATATCTATATCCGTATCCGTATCCATATCCATACCCATACCCATACCCATACCCATACCCATACCCATATCCATATCCATATCCATATCCATATCCATATCCATATCCATATCCATATCCGTATCCGTATCCATATCCATATATATATATATACATATCATTTAGGTTTGACGGAGGGAGGGATGGAGGGAGGGAGGGAGGGCAGGGGAGGGAAGGGGAGGTGTAAAAATGCCTACATGCATGCATGGATGCGTGCATGCATGAATGCATGGATGCATGGATGCATGTGTGAATTTTCGCCTCATGGCTTGCATGCAAGGCAGCAGGTGGCGCTTTCCATAGGCGGCGCGTGCTCGTGCAGAATGATACGCCGTCAGCTCTTCACCAACCAGGCGTCGGCAGCTCTCGATGACCATCAGGATCCGGATTCCACGGCATCTCCACCCCGCCTGAAACCGGCTCATCTCTGGAAACATGGATGCAGAAACCTGATGGACAAGAACCGAGCCGAGAAGCTCTTAAAGTGTCATCACCAAAATCCAGCCGATTCAAGAGATTCTCTCTGTGGGGGTGGCGTTGCTGCCAGCTTTGGCTCTGAATGAAATCGTCCGATCGCAGGGTTTCGAAGAGCTTGAACAGCAAGTCCTCGAAGAAGCAGAATGTGTCCTCTCAGACCATGTGTCTGCCGTTGAACATGAATGTGCCCGAGCCTTCCTGTCGGGTCACTTGCTGACTCTTTGACTACTACTGAGTGCTACTGTACCTCAACCACTACTGGACCTTTTGCACAGGCTTGCCTCAATCCCGCCTGGACGTGTCGCACCTCTGAACAAGGCCAGACACAAAACGAAATCACTGACTTAGAAAACGCAAATATGAGCCTAATTAACGAAATTCTAAATCGTTCAACTCCTAAACCACGTCCTCAGGCAGTGGAGCTGCGGCGCAGTCCACCGGCAAAAAGCGCCCGGCAGAGCCGTGGCCGCAGAAGGTACAAAACAGCAGTAGCGATTCTTGCCTCTCTGCAACATAGGGTTACGTTTTGAGAGCTCTTATGGTCGCGCTTCCAACTGCAAGAGGCCAGCCAAAATTTCTGTACCAGGCCTGCTGTCACACGGCGACTCTGCAGCTTTGGCCACGAGGCGCAAGTAGCCCTCGACTGCTGCCTGCAAAATCGTCAAAGTAACACTGAGGAGTCGTAAGTAAATGCGATGCAGGCGCGAGCGTCCGCAGGTTGCGAGCCTTCATTCCAATCAACGTCTGGTCGGTGGCAGAGTGCACCTCCACACTGATTTACGTGTGACCGTACGCTTCAAGCTCACGAGCCCTATGCCGGGAACCAAAAACTCAAGAGCTTGGCTTCTTAGCCTGAAATCCAGAACACGAGAACGCCTGGGGGTTTGACCGAGCCCAACTTACAACTGGCTTCCTGTGACTTCTACAGGTGTACCTAGACACCAGCGAGATGCAACAAGAAGCAGACTTTGGACTTGCAGGAACTTTTTCCTGACCTCGAAGCCCAGCGTATTGAGCTTGCGCGAAAGCTCTGCGGCTGCGGCTGCAGGCCGGGACAACCGGGGCCTTTGCCTCAACCGTGCTGCAAAACATGCGGATTCCAGCTTGGCCTGGCTTCGCCTAATCACTCAGGGGTAAGCGTGTACGCGCCGTTTGCCAAGATCAGCGCCAACCGACGAGCCATGGCTGTGCATGCACAGATACATTGTGCAGGTGTTCACCTTTCAAACTTTGTTTGCAATCTCTCCGGGCTTCAAGCTGGACTGCACCCAAGGACTCATTCTGCTGTAGTGCTGTAGTCTAGCCGAAGAGTGAAGGCGGTCGGTCTGAACATAACTTGGCGATGGACACGTCGAAACTTTTCGCCTGGAAAGAGTATCTCTACGCTGAGGGCGGCTGTCTTCTTGCACTCCTTGCGCTCTGTAAGGGCTGGTTGGGCCAGAAGCTATGACTGACTCCTCATGCATCCCTGACCGAAGGTAGCGACACGAAGCTACTGGGAGCTCTCCTTGCCACCTTGTGGCCGTGACGGTGGCTCTTTCAATCTTGTAAAAGCTGTCAACATGGCATCCAAGGCCTTTTGTTCTAGCAATCGCTGTGTCAAATCGCGACCCTCTACGGATGCTACAAGTACCAACAAAACGAGCGAGTTCATCTGTCCGAACCGGCTTGGATATGAGGCTTAGCCGAACGCACTGCGCCACACAGAAGCGCAATTGGAAGACCTGTAGCACATTGCGTTGTGCAAAACGGGCAGCCTCATCTTGTGAGAAGTATTTCAGGCAAGCTGGTACGATGGAGGTCGACTACGCTTCCTGCGACTCCAACTTCCACAGCCTGCGATGACAACTTGCATGGCTTTGGCCCAGTGCTGGACCTAAGAGTTTTGCCCCGGCACATACTGATGGAGAATTATGACACGGCTGGAGCATGCACGGCACTGCCAAGCTATCAGCCTGTAGGAACATCGGAAGACGACAACACACAGCGCCAGACCACGTAGGTGTCTGGCAAGTCGTCAGGGTTGTTTAAAAAATTGAAAGAGCTTACAATGTCGCAGAACCCTACCACTCATGCAAGAGATGGAGCGACGCGAACAATGTTTTCACTGCCAGGATCGAACCAAAATCTTGATCTAAAGAGTTGGCTCAGCATGTGCGTTCCAGTGCCTGGGGTGTCTCTGGTGGTTGGCACCTTCTCATAAAGCCAGACGTCTGTGAGGCCAGTTGCCTGATTCATCGCTTCGACGTAGGCGAGCGCATAATGGTGGGCTTGGTTCTGCGCAGCCCCTAGGCTCGCGATGCATTCGCAGAATGCCTGAAATTGAATTGCCAAAATGCTGCTGAAGCTTCGAGCTGACAGATCCCCAACGTGTCCCCAATCAGTCCAGAGACACATTTCTGAGATCCACTGCTCTTCTTCCACGTCCACCAGCCCCTGATCCCGGGTTTCATACGAGAGCGAGCCCTGCATAGCAAAGTAACAAGCTTCGGCCTTTGCCCCGCAACAGAAGACGATGTCATCCTCGCCAGCATCTAGCACCACCAGACCCTGAGTGGCCAGTCTCTGAATAACCTGCCCTTCTTGCGCACTCATATCGCTGTTCCTAAAGAGCTCATGCAAGAACGGCAGCCGCTCGAAGCACCGCTGGTAGCGCGCGAAGTGCATTTCAGCAGAAAGCGATTTGGACAAGAGGTTGAGGATGTGCAGGTCTTGCTCATGCGTCTGCCTTGCATGGTACGCGAACTGCAAGAAGCGAGTGATGCGGTGGCCAAGGCTATCTGGGATGTTTTGCTGACGAAGGAAGCGCCTCAGCAACCCAAATTGTTGCGACTCCTCCATCCTCCGGCCATGCAGTGCAGTCACAAGCGATGTCATGGAGCTGATCACAGTGGAGAAGGTCACCAGACTGATGAAGCACACTAGGATGGTGTAGTAGCCTTCCGTCTCGTTGGTGGCCTCGATCTCGGTGCCCCCAACACCGAGCTGCATGAAAGCCCAGCGCAGCGCGGTCGTATACTGGACCATTATTGGGCTGTCCGACAGCCCGGAGCTCTTCAACCATGTGGTCGTGGCGTCTGATGATAAGGTGCCCACCCCAAGCCAGCAGCAGGCAAGGACGTGCTCCACGAGCATCATGCCGATCATCACCAACATCAAGTTGAACTGAGTAGAAGCCATAGGAGATTCAAACTGATCTCGGAGAAACGCTGCAACTCGAGTAAGCTTGCCCAGGCGGACCACACGGAAAAGCCTCATGAGCCTTAGGATCAGATACGGCTCTGGCGCATGACGACCGTCTACGAATGCCAACGGCAAGAAAGATTTGCAGCGTAGGTGCCTGAGGATTCGGGTTGTCGCAGCAGTCTCCCCCACACTGTCCCCGACCGGCGTAAACTCCAACACCATGTCCACGCATGTAACAAGCACGTCTGGTACAAACCAGGTGCGCAAGTAGTGACACCAGACCTGCTTGACATCTTGTACGAGATTTCCTTTGTGGAGATAGCCTGTGACGAAGCAGAGCAGGATGTCTGCGCACCAATAGAACACCGCAATCCGAGTGATGAAGAAGAGAATTGGAAAGCGCAAGTAGAAGTCATCCACAACGAATTGGAGAGGAATGGCAATGGAGTCCTTGAGGAGGAGGAAGATCCCCAAAAAGTCCCAAAAGTTGCGAAAATGTCCAGTGGGATCTAAGGTGTAGCTGGGCTTCTGGATCGAAGCTAAGGTTGGAGTGGTCCCCGACCTTGGTCCCACGGTGCTCTTGCGACGGGAGATCGCCGACCTGGACTTCTGAAGCCAGCAGCCGTGCGCAATGTACAAGCAAGCCTCAGAGAGGTCATCGCCATCTTGGCCGGGACCCGGGCCGCGACCCGGGCGCCGCGCTCGTGGACTTCCCGGCAAGGTTGGGGGAAGCTCTGATGGAGTCCCGACGTCAGCAGAGTCCGCTCGAGGCTGTGGAAGAACGCTCAAGCTGCCGCTGCCCAGTCCCGAACTCGACTCCCCTAAAGCACTGATTGGGCTAGCTGGGTTGGCCGCTTCCGCGTTCAATCTCGTCAAGTCCTCCTGGAATTGATGTGGAGCCGGTAATCTGTCAAGGCTCTTGTGATTCATCGTCGCCACGCTTTTGGCTTTCTGCTTTGAGCCCGCCTGACCTGCAACTTGGGCCAGTCGGTGCCGCTGAAGCAAGCCGCCCGGTGTGGCGCTGTTGAGCCTCTGAAGGTCCGCCTCGTAGCATTCTCCCAACTTCCTTGGGGGCGCAAGGCTGGTACTTCGATTGAAAAGAACCGTGAGTGAAATAGCTAAACAACTGAAACCCTATCAGCTCCCTCTTCCATTGTCTTCCGCCCAGCATCCGGTGCAGTTCCCAGAAGCTGTCCCGTGGCGGACCGATCAGCAGTTGACCAGATGGAACGGACATGTTTCCATGCGCTGCAGAAGACAGCCCCCCTCCGTGCTTGGATCTGCAGATAGGCGTGTGTGGTAAATGGTGGCATACACTACGCTACACTGTGCGATTCCTGCTGCAAATTTCCTTGCATGGCTCCCGTGAACTGCTTTCACCCCTAGGCCTTAATACTGATGGTCGGGCAAAAATTTCAGCAACCTGGCAAATCAGCCTCAACAGAAAACGACTCTTCGATGCCGTGCTGCTAACCTTGCTCGGAGGTTTTGACAGCTCCCGCGAGTCGTTTGGCTACGGGGCGACTTGTAGCAGCACTTCTCCACACCTAACTACACCACACTAGCTGGTAAACGATTTGCACAACCATGCCAAAGACAAAAAAGGATGCGGACATGGCTGCGAACCAACAGAAAACTTCTGAGATGGACTGGGCCGCGGTTTGCAGCCGCCAGCAGCAGTTTGCGGTCTGGCATGTCTCGAAATCTTACACCAGGAATGCTCTGCACAGGTGGCAAATGACATCCCAATTTGTGGCCTTAGCCGTAGACCGACTTGTGGCCGTGGGGACCTGGCCACAGGTCTCAGCCAAACCGCTCCTGGGCTGGTGGTAGCTGAGGTTTCCTTGGATTCACAAGAGCACGGCCCACGAAGTGGAGAGTGAATCTGTCCTCTTAACCTTGAAAAACAGCACACGACGGTGGATGACAGCGCAGTTTCGGAAGTGCGCCGTCGAACACGGCTCTCCCATCCTCAACCTTATCGCCGCTCTCGACACACAAACCGACGCTGTCGCAGCCATCTACCCTGCCTCCCCGTCTAGCCAGTCGCCTTCACCCAGTACATCCATGACAACCTCAGCTTGTTTCAAGTTCTCCACAAAACCTGAGAAACCTGGCATTGCCTCCTCCCTCCCCCAACATCAATTGCACTGCCACTGGGATCCTGGCAGCTTCGGTTCGCGCGAGGTGGCCTGGGTCCCTGTAGATCAGCAGCTGGTGCGCCGAGCAGCCAGGACAAAGGTAGTCCTTCATCAATGCCGACCCATGCCGACCCGCTCCACTTTCGAACTGATGCATGCCCGACTGCTGCAAAGAGGCATTGATACTGTTCAGCACAACCTGCAGCAGGCTAGCGTTCAGCCGCGTGCAGCTGCTGTACGTCTTGCACTAACGATAAGAAGAAACAACTCAAGTCTCATCTCTGAACGGGGCCGTGCTCAGCTTGTGCATAATTAAAGACTTCGGATATGATAATTTACGTGGCTCAATGCCAGCCAGTTCTTACGATTGAAAGGTCCTGTTTAAAAGTTCAGAACATGTAGCAAGGCTCGCGGCTGTTCCGACTTTCCTGTTCCGTACCATTTGTTTTGGGATGCATCCTCCCACACTTCGGGCCGTTGCTGGTGGTGCACTCGTCACTACTTGGCATTCGCCGCGGCACCACTGCTGTGGAGGGCATGCTGCCTTGTGTTGCCACCTGTCTGCCTGGCTTTGAGGCAAACATGCACGCACAGTAGAAGAGCTCTTCCGAGCTTTGTCGGAGAAGTCCATCTGATTCTTGTGCAGCAGGATGAGCTGCCAAATGCGATCTCGTGTCAGTCTTGTGTAACTTCTACAAAAATGCCGGCGGCTGTGTGGGCGATATTTTCTGCTTGCTCCGACGTTCAAGATCCGGTTCCAATCTCAATCCTCTGTGCTAGCCCGTGTACCGGGGAGCCCGACGGTACACAGGTGATTGCAATGGCTGCAGCACGGTTCCTAGTCAAGTCAGTTGCTTGAGAGTCGAACTGTACCCCACCATCTGTCTTGCTACTGCTGCTGCAAGGCAGCGCATCCACTTGGGAATGGATTCGCTACGGCCTCCGTCGAAATTAGAACCAACACGACACAAAGATGAACCGCCTTAGCACAAACAAGTTATGAAGATCACTCGCCTCTCTCTACTCATTCTATGGTTGAGGTCTTCATCCCCTGAAGGTCCCGGGAGCGCTCCCCAAAAGTTGAAAGTCTCTGATGGCCGGTTTCCAGGCACAAGAAGCTTTCTTTCTCTCGCTCTCCGTGTCTCCCCCCGACTCCGGCTGCCTGCATTGCTCAATGCAGTGCTGGGTCGAGGCTACTGGTGCCGCCTACTTCTCCAAGCTACACCAGCTCACCTCGTTCCCTTCTCTCGTCAGCTGCTGTGTGTTTCGTTGACCTTTTCTGTCAGGCGGGGTAGAGGGCCGCTTTCCTGTCCCCGTTGTGGTGGGGCCTTCGCGGTCGGCGCGAGCCTACGAGTTGTTGGTTGGTTAATCTCTCTTGCACGGCACAAAGCCGCTTGTTCCATGTGCTGCCGTGCACGTTTTGTGCAAAGTGTTGCCAGCAATTCATACAAGGCCCGGACAAACGGAACCATCACTGAAAAGATGATCGAGGACCTGGGCAAGCGAAAGATGTCGCGCATTCCCACAACATGTTCAAAGTTCCGTGTGATTCTCGCGCCGCACCAATCCAGGAAACTTGCGCCAGCTTTGCTCATCTGCCCCCGGAGACAGGTCGGGTCGCGGCTAGAAGCTATGCGGCCTCACTTCTGCTTCTGCGGAAGGGGCAACTGCAGAGTAGTGGAACTGCAACTTCACACTCGTCGTGTTCAAACTGAAGTCCACTGTAAGGGGCCCTTCTGTGGAATTGACTTGCCCTAGGAGCGTCTTGACGGACTGTGCATGGCGTAAGTCTGTCTCGGCGAGAATGCCACATGATGAGAAGTAGTGCCGCTTCCTCCCAGCCTTCTTTGAACAAAGAGTCACATGAGCCTGCAAGTCAGAAAGGTTTTCCAGCTCCTTGCTCAACTTAGGCAGCTCCTCAGGCTTGAACTTCATGGCCCCGACATATTTACTGCCTTGCCTCATCTGCTCCAGCTCTTCGTCTGTTGTGGGCCCGTTGAAGAATTGAAGCTTGATGTAATCGACCTGAGACTTCAGCTCCTCGCTGGAGAAGAACGCTGCCTGAACGACCAATGTAAGCCGACAAGCACAGCGAATGGACCGCGGAGGTGGCTGCATGTGAGACTCGATGCATTTGGCTGTGGATGTGCCCAAGACTGTGCAGGACCTTTGGCATTCGTAGTGTTGCTCGCCGCCCTCCAGCACCAAGTCTTTGCTTCGCTCGAAGCGTCTCCGAATTTCATGTCCGTGACCTCCCTTCAGAAGCCACTCTGAGGCCGGCAACTGCGACTTCAACCAGGCATCACCCACCGGAGGAAGGAAGCGACAGCTCTTGACACAACTGGGCAGCTCTAAGTCGACAGGCGAGGCCTCCAAGTTGCCGTCCTGGCAGCGAAGGGCCGGGGCTCCCAAATAAACCAAGGAATCGTCGAGACCTCAGAGGCTTCCCGCACTGCAGGCATCGGGATGCAGCTTCGGCAGAAAGGACAAACTCAAGGAGCCAGGCCTACAAGATCCTACTCCTACAGGGTCCTACAGGGTCCTACAGGGTCCTACAGGCCTGCGCTTGCACCTTTAAGCGAGTCGGAAACCGAGGTCCCGGCATGATGGATGGAGAACGGCGCCATCCACTACTGGAAGGCCTCCAGTGGTGGCTCTTGGGCTACTCGGGAACCATCAGGACTCAAGAAATGCACGCAAGCCGAAGTCATGGCCAGGCCTAGATCAAGATTCTCGAAGGCCGAGCCGTCTTTGCAAACCTTCTTGCATCTCCAATCGAAGATCTCTGACCGGCGATCCACAGGTGCGAGTGATCCATCGTGAAGACACTGAACCATGACGGACTCAACGATGCGGTCATGCGCATCTACCATCGATAAATCAGAATCTCCTTCGCATCGAAGTGAAGTGAGCTCGCCGGTCCGAAAGACGGTACCTTTTGCGCTGCCGCAGCCTTCGATCATGATGCCGTCCCCAAGTGCTGCAGGGCAGTCGCACCTTGCGTGGCCAATCTGCAGCATCGCTTCCACTGGCATGTGATCAGAGCCATTCTCGGCGTCTGCGGCTCCCGGATAATCCATCCAGCCTTCGCCGCCCTTCAATGACAGGCTCAATTCTGAAAGTCTGCGCGTGGTTCTAAAGCAGAAGCGGTCCAGCCACCCCAGTTGCAGATCTTCCTGCTTCGCTGCCCAAATCAGATTTCCATCTTTCTTGCTGGGCTTCATGTAGCAGTTCCTCGTCAGGTTCAGTAGCTCGTCCATGTGGCAATAAGACGAACTTTCTTGCAAATGGTCTGCATCACTGCAATTGACAAGCTTCTCGCCGAGAAGTTTGCACTCCTCCGCACCATGACGCTTGTACGTGGGAAGGTACTGAGAGTAAGGCTCGTTGCAGGTGAAGCCGAATCCAGAGTTGTCCTCCACCGACTTCACCAAACTATCAGCAAAAGGACTCTGATCCCACAGCGGATCGTTTGCAGCCAGCTTGCGACGACCAGCTGGGGACAAGAGCTGTGCTTCGATGGTGCTGAGTGGATCTTCGCTTTCTCCAAGTTCCCCTTTCCGCAGGCGGAAATTGAGATCACCAAGCATGACAACTGCATCTGGTCCTTGGTCTAAGCCTTGGACTTCAGGAAGGTCACAGGTCGGGGAATCTCGATCGAAGAGGCCACAAGGTTTTTTGAGATCCCCCGATTTCGAGATCACATCCTCGCTCAAAATCTTGCTCTTCTTGTTACGGGCTCGCAGTTTGGACAACAAGTAAGTGATGCCCATGCGGCGGCTCTTTGCGGACTCGCTGTCGAGATGGGCGCAAATGAAGTCCACCCGCATGGCGTTCCGTGCAAAAGATGCAGGGAAGCTGAGCGACATGGCCACACCGCCCTTTCCCTTGAGGTCCGAGGCTAAGACCTGCGTCTGAGTCTTGAAGAGCCAGACTTGCGATGCCACGTCGTTTTTTGCGAAAGACATGTTCTCCTCCTGTCCTAGGATGCTGCTCCAGGGTGTCATTACAATCAGCTCGGAAGAGTTGCCGATGAACTCGCCATTCAGCGGACGCCGTGCAAACAAGGACGCCATTTGAGCATTGATGTTGCCTCCAGCAGCTCCCCAGTGCTGCCCATGTGCCACTTCCTTCCACTGTGCCGGCATCCAGTCGCGAAGTGGCTTCGATGCCTCGGTTTGGCAGCTAACGATGAAGTCGGCGTCGGTCTGCGAGAGCCTGAAAGCTTCCTCCTTCAAGTCGGCCTTCCCGGAGTTCCAGGTCCACATTCGCACGTTCAGCAGCCTGGAATCCAGCCAGTCGCCCCGCTCGAGCTGCTCGCCGCCACGCAGTCGGTGAGCATGGCTCTCGACAAAGGCTATCGAGAAAAGGGCCCAACGCCCAAGCATTTGGCAAACACTAATGCCCGAAGGCACTGTGAAGTGTGAGCTATCGAGCCACGGCTTCCGATGGCAGCACTCTCCTCTAACTTGACCCCTCCACTGGCAGGGCTGAGCTCATGGCACCATGATGTCCCGCGACATTCGATGAGCACGAACCCAAAGCCTCAAGCCACGAGTCGCGCTGCCCATGAAAGCAGGTCCAAATACAGGCCCAAGTGGCTGCAAGGGCAAGCCACAGCAGCCCAGGAGGTTGCAGCAGCGCGCCCTTACGTCGCAATGAGCTGAATGGCAGGATGCAGGTCATGTGCTGTGTTCCGACGTGGAACCTAAAATGCCAAGACACCGCAGCATGCCTTCACCTCGGTGATAGCAAAGGTCACAACCGGACCAAGTGAAGTGGGCACAAATGGCGAAGGCTCAAAGATGTCAATGATTCGAGACGCCCTGAATGCCCTGACTTCTCAGGCCAGGTGCCAAAGAAGATGCACATGATCAGCAAGCAACATTTCAGAATGAATCCGGCAACGAATGCGTTCCTGCCCAGGGCTGAACTAGTGCACTTCGGGAAAACTGTGCATCCATGTCCTCCACCCAATTACAATGAAGACATAGATCGCATAGACCTTGGCAACAGCGGTCGTGGGTGGCAAACTGGCGGCATCTAATCTATTGCCACGTTCTCTCTGAGAATCAAGCCCAGCCTAAACAACTCTGCATCCAATCCAAGGCGAGATGCTGCTTCTGCCAGGTCAAGGCACGAGACCGTCCAAGCTGAAAAAGTAAGCCTTGGAGGCTTCAGGTTAGGAGTCAAGTCGGCTCAGGACTCGACTACATGATCAAAGCAAAACTCGAACCAAGGAGCGGGATGCCAAACTCGCCTTCGGTTGTCACGAAACACACTGCAAGCTGAAGTGCCGCAAAGCTGTCACAGCACATCACGCAGCCCCAAACCCCTACCCTACTGCATGACAAGCTGCAGCATTGTCGAGGTGGAGCCTTTGAATGAGATGTCTGGCTTACTTCCGAATCGACAGGCAAAGACAGAAGGTCAGCGCACCTCCTGGCCCTGAGGCGTGTCGACAGGTCCAGGTGCCGCACTGGCCGGTGCAGGGGCCACTTCACGGTCCTGGCAATCCATGCTCATCTCACATTACATGTATAACTACCGTTAAAGAGCGAACTGTCCATCATTTCCGGCAGGATATGAGCCCTTCTGGCCTGAGCAGTTGCATGTGGCGCTTCCTCCTCCTGTCAACTTCGACGGATGGATGCGTGAAATGACAATATGATTAGAGGGGCCACCAGCCGAGGGTGACAAGACGAATTAGACGGTGTGGAGTTCTCGTCTCTGGCACAAACCAAACTTACTTATCTGAGCCACTTCTTTCTGCGTCCTGCCTCATCCTCTTCTTCTTCTGTCACGGCAGTCGACTCGCGAGTACCGGTTTCGACATCGCGGCGGGCCTGGCAGCGCTCTGGAAATGCTATGAGCAAACCCGAATCTTCGGCTTGAGGCCGGGGCAGAGGCAGCGCCACGCTTTGCCTCCTGATACACCGAACGCAGCTCGGGCGGAAGCACAATATGCTGCAGTCGACGCGGCCAGACGCTCTTGATCACTTAGGGCCGTCCTCCGTGCCGGAAGATTTCGCAGAGCGAAATCTGAAACTCTTGGCTTTCCTGGGCCAACGGGCTGGGCTGATCAAGATCTCTGTTGCTTTAACTTTGGAGTGGATTTGCTTCTGCTGCCGGTCGGCGAGCGCTTTGGTCTCAGCAGCCGTCGGCGGAGAATTGAAGAGCAGCCAACTAGCGTCTCGAAGAGGACGGCCAGAATACAGTACCTCAGGGCTTTCATGTCAGAGAACTGGTATCGAAATACTTCAGAACTCCGGACGGGTGGCCCTTTGCTGCGGTTGTTCTGCTGGCTCCACTTCTCTTCTTGATATTACCGCTTGGTCTCGGCGAGTTTTGCCCTAGCTTCTGACAGCCCGCGCATGTTCGCTAACTGCAAACTCTGAACAACTTGCTTCTTGATTTGGCTGCATGACTGGGGGGGACCATATCTTTGCTCGCGATACTCTTCGTGAGGCCCTCTGCTTTTGGAGCGACGAGACGACTTATCTGCTCTGTTATGATCACCGTTGCTGGTGTCGGTGCTCTTCTGTTTGTTGCAACCCAAGGGGTGTCCAGATCTCCACACCTCACAGTGTCATAGATGCTGGGTGCCTGTTGCATAAGACTGCACTTCTAGACAAGCCGAGATGCACAGATGAAGCTCCGATCGGTGGCAGGAGAACTGCCTCAAGGAAGAGCGGCAAGTGCGGACTCGAAGGCTTGAAGGTCGCCAGCGACATTCCGCTGATTTATGAGGCTACAGCACGCCCCTTCTTCAGCCGGCAAGCCCGGTAAAGGAAAATGGAAGCGAAGACTACGCATCAAGAAGCCGAGAAACGATGTGCAGCATGTTGCCCGAGACGGCACCTGTCATCGCATCAGCAAGACCCCAAGTAAGCCTGTCGTGGCTGAAATTGGCCTGAATAGGCCAACATAAGTGCGTCGATCTTCATGTTGATCATTGCGTACCATGCAGCCAGGAAGAAGACTGCGACCACAAACCTGAGATGTTCTTGCCATTGCATATCATTGCGATCCAAGGCTACGTACAAGTGAGAAATCAGAGCTTGTGGAGTCTGGTGGCGTGATGTCCACCATGGATCGGTGCAGCCCGCCACTGCGCGGTTTCAGCTGTGTGCGATCGTACCACTCGACCCAATGGCGGCCACTTCCCTGCCAAGTGGCCCCGGCTTCATGTACACTCAGTAAACATTCAAGCACTCGTAGGTGCAATATGTGCAATGCAGGCTCCGTCCTCCAAGAAGAAAGCCACGAGACCACGAAAGTCCTGGACAAGGCGGCTGCGCACCCTGTGCGGTTTGCTTCCCAATCCGCCCCGGCGAGTCTTTGTTAATTCTGATATCGCCCCGTTCTACGTTGGAGGATCTAAGGCCCTTTGAAAACCGTCGCGGCAGGCAGACCACTTTCGTGACACTGTGCCAGCTTTACGTGCTTGATTGTCAACGAAACTGATGCCAACAGAAAGCAGTACCCGCACTGTCACGACAAGTTCTTGCAGGCTTTGCCTGTCAAGACGTGGCAAGGTCCCCATGTGCTCCATCTACGACGACGAAGACAGCTTTAAAACCTGTCGGGCTCAAACCGATAGGATCGTGCAAATGCACTACGTCTTTAAGACTATGCTCTAACTCGAGTCGCCTGGCTGCAGGAAAGTTCTTCCAGAAACGATCGCTGAATTCGGGATACTCCGACGCCCCCGGAGGAGCCGGGCTGCCCTTCGCGAGCGTGGTAGTATAGGAACACGTGGTTCGCATCTGAAGGCATCAGCGTGTCAAATGACAGCATGTAATCCACGTTCCAGCCCGGTCTCTGCAGAGGCGTAAGAAAGTGGGCATCAAGTACATCCCAAGAAAGACCATCCTCGCTGGCCAAAAGCGCGAAGCTTGAACCAGTGATGCCAAGGGCAGTTCGTGTAAGCCTGCTCTGCAGTGCTAGCAGCTTTCGTGGGGATCCATGGTCCAGGGCATCGTAGCTCGAGTCGCGCCGACTCAGCGTATCGAATCCCTGAATTATCTTGAAGGAGCCTGCTCCAATAATCTGTGGATGGACATCCGAGGCAGTCCGAAAAAGGGGTGTCTCTTGCAGCCGGCGATAAGGCCCTTCAGCGGCAGGTGCCTCTGCGAGGCCAATGAACAGCGGCTGGGGATCATCGATCCTGGCATCCGTCAAGAAAGTAAGGGATGCCGAGTAGTACAAGAGCCAGCGTACGGCTTTCTCATCATACACAACGAAGGGGTTGCCGACACGCGACTTACCAACCTTCTCCCACTCCAGCTGGGGTTCCAACACCTGGCGTGGCTCGCTCCACTGCCAAGCCTTTGACTCCTCCAAAACTGGAGCTGTCTTAAGGAAGATGGACGCAGGTTGGAACGCGGACTCGCCACGCTGCTCATAGAAGAGGTGCACCACGCCCTCGAGAAGGCGGACGAAAGGGCCAACGGCTCCAGGTACGCCGACCGCCAGTTCTGACGTGTTCCAATTTGACAGCCCATCTTTGGAGGAAAGATGGAGAATCCCTTTGGCACAGGGCACGAAAAGATGGTAGCAACCGGAAACTTCAAGGATGCTCGGATCGCCTAGTGATGGATCTCCCTTGCGAAGCTGGGTCAGCACAGGGTTCTGGACAAAGTCCTGGACCGTTGCAGTCTGCTGCCAGCTTTTTGGATCATTCGGCTCGAACTCCAGGGACCTTAAACCTGCGACTTCCCGCGTGAGAGCTGCAAGCTCGTCTGACAGAGCCCGGACCGGCGAGTGCGGTTGGACCTGGGCCTCAGCACCGCAGGCAGAGCCCATCTGACACGCGCCTCTTCCTTGAAGCCGAGATGAGCTGCGCAAAGTGTATGGGAGTTTGGTCCCTACTCCTCAGATGAACTACACCGTTTATCATGCTCTATCTATATGAGTTTGCGGCACCCGCATGCCCTGGCATCAGATAGTCTTGGCCTCCTTGAAGTGCTTCCACACGAACCTTGACAGCTGCAATCTGCGACTTGACTAGCAGAATGTGCCTCGGGCTGAACTTCGAACAGAGTGAGGAGAAATGCGCCCGAGCAGCTGGTAGGGATTGAATATGAAGGGTGCCTGGACAAACATGGGTTGTGAGTTGCGAAGTGGACTTGCGGAACTGCAAGTGTGCAGCTGCGGCAACATTTTAGTTGGCCGCTCTGCTTCTAGCCGAGATGCCCATAGCCATGAGACCACTGTTAGACCCAAGCAGATGAAGATCCACCAAACGTCTCCAGCGAACTCACCTGCACCTCTGGCAAACATTTCCATGGTGAGTAGAAATCAGGACTGCACGGCAAGATCACCATCACTCTTCCTGTCTGCAGTTTCAAACACTGCTTCGATGCTGAATGGGATGCAAACAAATTAGCAAGAAGGCTTTGACGAAGATATGCAGGCCATACCGTGCCTGACACGCCGCCAGCAACCAAGATCAGCACAACTCCAGCCAACAAGGTCACTCCATCCTCAGATTAGCCAAGCGAAGCTGCAAAGCACCGAAATCCTCGGACCAAGTGTTGCCCGGCAACGTAATACGCTATGGCCGCATAGTCCAAGTACAGTCCTCCGACTTTCTTCAGCTGGAACCTTCAACTTTTGGCGCGAGGGCGGGTGCATGCGACTGTGAGGATGCTTCGTGCTCGAAAAAATCCTCGTGCAATCTTGCATCTGGGATACTTGCCAGGCAAAGCCTCACCTATAAATGGACGGCGGTCGGTTGGCAAACCTCTGCCCGTGTTGACATAGGTCGCCCCACCATAGCGGATTTCGTTGATGACCTGAGTGTTCAGGAGTTTAGGAGATTCCGCGCTCCGCGCAGCGATGTAACCTCAGCCAGCTCCACGACAGTCACGAGAAGCAACATCGCCAAGCGGCGTAGTGGCCGATGATCTTCGCTTGGAAGATGAACATGAGCCTTATTACTAGATTCATGAGCCTCAAAGCTTCTTGCGGAGAGTCATGTTGCGGCTGAGTTTCGGCGAGAGGGTGAACATCTGCTTCAAGAACCGCTCGAAAGCCACCTGACGGGTTCCAGATCTCGGCTCTGAAAGTCCCTGGAAGAGTTCAAAACTGTGGTTTCGACTCTCACATCAGGGCGTGGCGTGGGAGAGGTACATGCGTCACTGCCGCTCACACGCGGACTTTTCAGGCGAGGCATGTCCATGATGGTCTAAAGCGGGGTAACGGAGTTGGGGGTGGCATGCAGAACACATCACAATTCCCATCCTCCCACCGTGTTTCGACTGGCGCGTTGGTGCAGTGCCACTCAACTTGACGATATGGCTATGTGTTTGGCCAACAAACCAACGCCGCACTGACTTGCATGCTGACGGGAGTTGGTAAAGGCTGCGTTGAGGTACAGGTTGCCCAGTTGTGCATGTTGGTGGGACTGAAACCTTATGCATCAAACATGCAATTGCAAATGCAACATGGAAGTGTGAGCCTTGCAGTTGCGTTCCATCCACATCTCAGCCTAAGCTTGCAGAAGCTTACTGCCTTGGACACGTCTTAGTTTCAGACTGTGACTGTGAGGAGCTTGCCGCGCGTCCATGTGCACACATGGATCAATACCGGCAGCCACATCAGAGTACCCTCACTTGCCCTCTCAACTAGAGCCGCTTACTTTTGCCCCGTTCTGAGCATTCCAGGTGGCCGTGCGGTTTGGCACTGGCGCCCTTTTTTAGCGGCCCTGCCGCCGAAGGGCCAAGAGTGGAAGAGAGGTGGCAACCAGGAAGAGCAGCAATAGCCAGGAGAACCAGACCTGCTCTGAGTCAGAGAATGCGTGCGAAAAAAGAAGAGCTCCCTGTAAGCGTCTGGGTGTCCGACGCCCACAGTCTTGGCCATCACTTCAGCTGATGACATCGTGTCCTGAACTTGTCTTACAGCCTATAAGCACAAGCGGCAGTGCCAGAGGCCGCCTGGTTCAGGTTCAAGAAGGCCTCGAAAATGCCACCACGCACCTGACAAGCACAACTTGAGCACTCCCAGCCACCAGGGCCCTATTGTCAGCTGTTGCTGCTGCATGCCGCTGTGTAGATGGGCCTCGTCTGCGAGCAGCACTAGCAGCCAGACAAAGACCAGCAGGGGCATACTCCACGACACGAACAGCTGCCTTGGCTGACCAGCTGGACGGAGCGGGGTTTCCGCAGCCCGGCTCGCAGGTGGGGGCCGAGGCACGTGAAGTAGTATCCCACATGCGCCTCAATGACACAGCGCAACCGAAAGAAGCTGTGCGACGACCATAAGCTCTCATAACAGAACACATCCGAGGTGTGACAGGCTAGCCCTGCGTGACACACTGCAGGCAAGAAGCATAATAGAACGTCAGTGCCTGCACCGCCACAAATTTCGAAATACTTTGCCATCACATGTTAAAGCAACCCTTGCAATAACCGTTCTGATACCCTCACAGCAAGGCCGTTAAAACTTCGCAGTAACCAAACCGGAAGAGCCTCTGGCAGCTGTAGCACTTGGCCCAATCGGAAAGCTTGGCGTGTCAGGACCTGCTCACCTCAGACAGACGGAAGGGAATAGGGTAACCTTGCGTACTTTAAAGTTCCCATAGATAAGGTAGCACTATATAGTGACTACAGTACTGGTAGCAGGGTTCAGAAGGGTTACTAGGTTGCGCTAGAATCTAGAAGGCGTTGCTGCAGTATACTTTACGATCCGGTCTTAGTGCTAGCCAAGCCACCTGTCCCGGAAGAGAGCTTGGAGAAGAAGCCCAGGACGGTGTTGAAGCCAAGGTCACGGCCCTGCAAAAAGAATACTCGAGTAGAGGCTGCAAGAATGCGAAATTCACCATGGGAGCATCAAGCGCGTTCAACCATCATCGTCACGGACGCTTCTTTCACGGGCGCTGCCTTGGCCAAATGGAAGTACTCCGAATGCTTGATGGATCTCCCTTCACCCCGAAGTGTGAAGTCCATACCTGCCGAGGCCAAAAGGAGGGCTTCGGCAGGAGAGGCCTTTGGTCCTTGCGCCTGCGAAGATATCTTCAGAGAGGTTCACCGTCTTGGTGGCTTTGGAAACACCGCCCTGCTGCATCATGGCCAGCCTCGGCGCCCATGCAGACGCATGCGAGGCACATTCCACAGCCGCTTCTGGGCATCTTCAGCTATGCGACTTATTCATGATGTCGGGATGGCCGTAATGCATTCTGGCACCAAGCACTGCCTCCAGTGAGTCAGAGCTTGCCAGCACCACGGCACACAGGACAATGCAGCTTGGGGGCATAGGTTCTTTGCAGGATTGTACCAAAGGCTACTTCAGCAGAGGCAGCGAAGTCGCCAATCGATCCGATGTCACCTGATGCATTGGACTCCGGACCAGATGAGCTGAAGTAAGAGGCATTTCACATCCAGACTCGCCAGAGGTCCGCACGAACGACTGATGTGCAGCCGCAGTGCTCGTAATGTGCTCCGGGAATCCTACAATTCGCTTCGACAGCCCATCACCTCTCCGTCGCGAGCGGAATTCGCCTCAAGCTTGCCCAAGAAGGGCTGAGCCAAAGATGCACGCAAGACTAGATCGAAAACGCGTCTGTGTTCAATCATCACGATCCCTTAAGGTGCCCTTCTAGAACTCCTTACACTCCATCTATTTTGGAAGACCCAAACATGAACAGGCGATGAAAGGTCGCCATGAGGTGTCTACTTGATCAGATGAGAAACCAATCCGTGTCAAACCTCTAGGCCACAAATACGAGCGGTCACGGTAAGTTTGCAGATGTAGCTCAACAGTAAAATCCCTGCTTGATGCAAGTAGCCGAGCGCACAAGGCAGCAGCATCATCTGCTCCTCAACGACGACAATACCCCAAACTACCGGGGTCAGGTAAGAAGGGACGGCACGATGCCCGTCGTCTCAATGCAACCATGAGTCAAAGTATGCGCCCTGATTCGCATCGATGCACTGCGTAAAAAGACCACGCATGAATGGAATTGCATGGTTCTGGTTATCACCCTTGCCATCGCCCAGGATAGGATAGCCCGGCAGCTCCACGCGATACTTGGCCTGCCAAGCCCGCAGGACCGTTCCCGGGCCACGTAAGAAAGCAAAGCAGATAATTTCGGCTGCAGACAGCAAGTCCTTCTTCAATCCCGTAGGCAAGTCTTCGCAGGCGGCATCGATGAGACTGCTGTAGTAGCGTCGCTTCTGCTTCGGATGGACAAGGTCTGACTCTGCAGTGATACCCTTGTCATCCTTGGCTGCGAGGTAAACCTTTCACTTTCGACAGTGTTTGCGAGTTCGGTGGCGAAGGTGAACACCTTTTGACTGTCTGAGGCTCTGCAGGTTTTCAACACCTGCAGGTTTGTGCTTACATGGGTCACAGGACCTGTACAAACTGCAAGCAAAGCTGCGCAGTCGATGAACGCCACCTTCAGACAGTCGGGAAACTTTTCGAACATCCTGGCCACCAGAAGCACTAGAACTGTGTTGGACAGTGGCTGTGTGTCATGAAGTGTTCGTCCTGTTGGTGTGCTCCAGCTGCGTCTTGTCAAAAAATTTATACCTGGCCACTTTGACTTGGCCAACTTTTCAAGCTCCCTTCCTGCTCAGGTCTGTCAGTTAGGAGTAGCAGGGGAGCAACTGCCGTCGCGGTACATTTGCATGGACACCAGGCAAGTGAAGCAATCGCTGGGATTCCAAATCCCCGGCTTCGCGAGGCTGCTGGCTCGGTCAGCTTGTACCTGATGCTAACACCGTCAAGATGGTTCTTCTGATACTGTCATCGACATGCAGAGTCTGTGATCTATACGCGCTGTGTAGCATGGGCATCACTATCAGGATTTCGACTTGTGCTTACTGTTGGTCATTATGGTATGGCTGCGCTCTCGCTGTTGCTCTTACTATCAGCAGCAGCAGCAGCAGCAGCAGCACCGCCGACGACGACGACGACGACGAC